ATATTATTCACTGTCAGTGGTTTTAATGCTGTGACTGATCATTGTACATACAATAACAAACAGTAGAAATGCCACTAGTGACAAGCGACCATGTGTGGGCACTTAATTCATTGTGTCGATGACGTGACAAATTGATTAAAGACTCGCGAGATAAATGTATTATTTATTTTTATACTAATTTATCAAAGTACAATCAAATTAAAAACTAAAAGAATAAGAATTTACAGTGCAATTTATTTAATTTAAAATAATAATCATAAAACAGTACTACTTTATCACCAACATTATTATTTTTCTCTAATTGTTCATCTTAAAACTATAGTTTGGTTATAAAATATTGTAATTGAAATATTTAATTAAAAAAAGTCTACTGCTCAAGATAAAGACACAAATATGTTTGCTGTTGTGAATCCATAATAGGCCCATATCATTTTTATAATTAATATGATTAACAACACCTGCATGAACTAGAGGGAAAATAATTTCATACATCCACTAAAAATCATCAAAACACCAGATGATTAAAAGACACTGAAAATGGATCAGTGAAGTTAGCTTTGAGTAAAGGCCATTCATCATTTGTTTGTACCGAAAATTCATAAATATTCAGGTTTGAAGTGTGATGAATGATGGACACACAACTGACTTTTTGAGTGATGTTAACACTTTACTGAGAAACTTTATAGTTATCACATGTAACTGAAGACGACCTACTTCCGTACACATTCAGGGCTTCTACTGACATCCTGACTACGGATATGTGTCAGGTACAAATGCGATTAACATTTAACTAAGAACATTTAATCAATGCTCTACAAAGTGTTTTGGGCCACTCTAGAGTCTTTCTGTTCTCGCTGATGTTCTCAAATAAAACAAATCGCATAAATAAATATAAATGCAAATAAATAAATCAATCAAATTCTAATTTCTAATATTTCTAAATAAATGTAGAAAAAAAATCATAATTTTGATGGCACAATCTTTACAAGAATAATTTTACATGCAAAGATTTCCTTCATTTGTTTCAGAAACCTCTGGTCTCGGACCCCGTATATCAAAGGACTCAGTAATCTTGGCATAATATTTGTGATTAGATAATTAAAGAAAGTGATCTTCGTTCTGAGAACAGGAAAAAAAGGAAAAACAAACATATCCATAACAGGGGTGATATAGGAAAGCATACAAAGAAGTAACTGGACACCATGCAACAATATTGTACTCCGAGCCTTATTTGCTGAACCTTTTGAGATGGCCTTTCCGGCAGTGAACAGGACTCTGCAATAAGTATAAATGAGAATGATCCACACCAATGACATACAGATGACTTGTGAAGCAGTGATGCGATCCTTGTGGTGTTTTGTCGGGAACAAACTAAATGTGTAGCAAAGCACAGTAGACCTGAAGAGAGATATGGGCTGGACAGAGAGAAGAATAATGATATCTGCCAGAGAAGGTATAACTCCTATAACCCACAGCAAACATATAAAAATGTAGGTCCTTTCTGGTGTGCAAATCTGAGCGTGATGCAGTGGTTTACAGATAGCAATGAAACGCTCTATTGCCATACCAGCCAGATTCAATGGAGTGATCATAAAGGTGGTTGTACCAAGAAAAACCAATGTGTAACACAAAGATGCATTTACAAGTTGGGAAGCATAGGTCAACACATATAAAGTCACTGATATGCATATCATGAGCATGTCATTGATTACCAGGTGAATGTATAAAATGTATCTGGAGTCTCTTGAAAACATTGGATTGGAGAAGAAAGTCACCACTAGCATTCCGTTAATGAAATTAATGACAAGACCGAAAGAAACAATCACAATGTTTTTGGCAAGAGCTTCTTCATAACTATCCACAATCCAGACCGTCGAGTTCATTTTCCAGTTCTTTATGACCAAGGGTCTGGAAGAGAATGAGGAGAGAGGGGTTAAATAGTGACCTAGTCTAGACTAATTGAGCCTATTCCTTTTGAGAAGCCTTGTAGATAGACTTACCTTGAGCAGAAGAACCAGTTCTGGATTGTGTATTTCAGTCTGAAGCTCACACGAGTTTTATTCAGTAGAGTGCTATTGTAAGTGCTCATGTGTTATTTATGGTTTGTGGAAAGGGCAGAGATTATGAATATTAAATATGATGGTCATTGCCCTTGGGTCACTTAATTAGCCTATTCAAACAGTTGCTGTTAATGTCATAACAGTGCAGTATTTGCAAGGGAAAACAAGTATAGAACTGAATACAAATCTATTGTGTAATTTATTGAATAGCAATGCCAAAATCACGGGTTTTCTGAGAAAACTCACATCCTTTAACAACACACAGAACATGAGATAATACTGATGGAAATGAGCAGGTCACAAACTTGATTTCACACAAAATGAAATTGCACTTGATTACAATGCAAAATGTGCCAGAAGAATATTCATAATGCAATGCAAGTAAATTAATAACACAAGAGGCATTATAGCCTCATTAGAATGGACACAACTGTCAGTTTTATTTTTCTGCACAAAAATGTGTGTTCAGCATTATGTTTAGCATTGCAGAGCCATGCATTGCAACTGCTGCCAAACTGACCTAAGTTTAGGTTCAAAACTACAATAATAATAATCAAAGGTTCAAAACTCAAAATACTGCAGATGGGTTCAAAGGGGCATTGTTAGCATTATATTAGGTGTAACTATTTACTTTTTGGATGTTTATTATTAAGGTAAGACTGAATTGATATTCATAGATGGTAAGATATGATTGAAATTGCAATATTGATTTTTATATCAACACAAGTTCTTTTTTGCTGCTGTGCTCATCTTCAACCTACTATAATGTTAAAATTGCATCAATAAAACCTATTTAAATAAGATTTGTATTCATTGCTAACTGCAAAATTAAGTGATACTCAACAAAACAGCACTTTGAAATGGTAATGTAATTTGTACTTGGGACTTGTCATGGTGACCACACATGGGGTCAGAATATCTTGTCTGGATGATACAGAGTTATCTGTTGTGTAATTGTTTACATCTGAAGCAGATTAAAGGATTATTCACGTTCAAATTAAAATTTCCTGATAAATTACTCACCCCCATGTCATCCAAGATGTTTATGTCTTTCTTTCTTTCTTTCTTCAGTCGAAAAGAAATTAAGGTTTTTGATGAAAACATTTCAGGATTATTCTCCTTATAGTGGACTTCAACTGCTACCAAATGGTTGAAGGTGAAAATGACAGTTTCAGTGCTGCTTCAAAGCGTTCTACACGATCCAAGACGAGGAATAAGGGTCTTGTGTAGCGAATATTAATAAAAATGATACTTTTTAACCTCAAACGCTGGTCTTGTGTAGCTCTGCAATGCGCATGCGTACTCAGTGCAGTCCTGATCGAAACAGTTAGGGTAGGTCGAAAAACTATCAGCTACTACCCATCTCATTTTCTCCTCCAACTTCAAAATCGTCCTACATCGCTGCAGAAGTACTGACCCAGTGTTTTCAAAGTGAACATGCAAAGAAGGTCAAAGCCCTTTACAAAAAAAAATGTAAAACAGCGACATAGGACGATGTAGGACGATTTTGAAGTTGGAGGAGAAAATGAGATGGGAGTTTTTCGACATACCCTAACTGTCATGAACCAGAATGCACAGAGTTCACGCAGACGAGAAGAGTGTTTGAGGAAAGTATATAAATTGTAATTTTTTTTTTTTAGAAAATGACTGATTGTTTCGCTAGACCCTTATTCCTCGTCTGGGATCATGTAGAAGCTTTGAAACCAGTAGCCCCTCCCTGCAGAACAAAATATCCAGGGGGCGTGGTTGGATCCAGATCTAGGGGGTGGAGATTGGTAGGTTTAGGGGTGGAGATGGGTGGGTTTAGGGATTAGGGGGTGGAGACGGGTAGGTTTAGGAATATGTAAGGTGGGAGGAGTTGGATCTGGATCCAACCACACCCCCTGAATCTTGTGTTCTGCAGTGAGGACCATCTCACTGAAACTGTAAATTTGACCTTCAACCGTTTGGTAGCCATTGAAGTTCACTATAAGGAGAATAATCCTGGAATGTTTTTATCAAAAACCTTCATTTCTTTTTGACTGAAGAAAGAAAGATACATATTGGAGGACATGAGGTTGAGTAAATTATCAGGAAATTTGAATTTGAAAGTGAACTAATCCTTTAAATCCAACACTTTGCACTGAATCAGAAAACAGGAGTGGTAAAAATACTTAAATATTAAAAAATAAAATGTAATTAAAATACTTAAAATGTATACTTAAAAAAACATATGAACCAAAAACTAGGACTAGAGATGTATTTAAGTAAATCAAATTAATTAGATCACCTACTGGGAAATGTAAATGCAACAACTGAAATACAAAGGTATCTGGCCCTAAACCATACTGTTTGTGGTGAGCTGGTGACAAATGCAAAAGGGAGAGTGACCTTGGCAATGTTTTTAAAAAGGGGGTTGCCTACCCTTTATTTGGCACCAATATTTCGTTTTATTGATAATATTGCATTTGCTCTTCAAGCATGATTTTAATTTTACTTTGTATAACATATCTTTGCACTGTTTGCACTGTACATAGCTTAGCTGAAACATTTTGGTAAAACAAATGTAGAGGAATTTTGAGATTGTTGGGGCACTGTACAGTTAATTATGATCCGTCCGTTCATAACACACTGTTTACTGCAGGTTTGAATGTAAACACTTACAATTCCTTATTTTCAAGATGTGTCATTTTAACACATGGAGTCATTATGTTATATTAAATCACGGAAAACATTTAATGATTCATTTTTCAAAATAATAATTGTTTAAAAAATGCTGACAACTAAAAAACACTGTTAATTTATGACATAACAATGTGGCAATACATTTGATTAAATTTCACATTTACATCAGTGTTGCAAAACAATTATCTGGTACATGAAGAATTATGCATGCTTTATGTTACATAGCCATTAATGACGTGTTTTTATGAAACATATAATGGTGTTGACCTTTTTTTCTCATTGATTGGTTGATTCAACTTTTACAATGAATAATCTGCATGAAAAAAGCCCCTTCATGTGTTTGTAAAAAAGTTTATCACGAACACCATAAATCAGGGGAGTAAGCAGTCGTGGTACTATATTTGTTAAAAGATCATTTAAAAAGGTTAGTCTTGCCCTGTAAGGCCCAGCTTGGAAGAGCTCTCCCTGATTGCAATTGCCCGATCAACTGGTATAAGTGGGATAAACATCTTGTCTAACACAGGAGTAATGTAGGACAACATACAGAGCAGAAGCTGCGCTCCATGTAACAGGATGGAGCTTTGGGCCTTTTTTGCTGAGGATTTATCAGCGGAGGCCCTTCTGGCTGCAACCAGCACTTGACAATATGTGAATACAAGAATTACCCACACAACAGACGCGTAAAGGCCATTCATAAATCGGGTCTGTATTTCATGATATTGTGTGGAATACAGAATTGATGCACTACGAGAAGCAGCTGTTGTAAAAACAGATAAAGGGCAAACAATTGAAAGGAGAATCAAGTCAAGCAATCCAGGTATGACTCCTACATCCCAAATCAGAGAGATGAGGATGTAGGTCCTGCGCACTGTGCAGATCTGATGGTGATGCAGTGGTTTGCAGATGGCGATGTAACGCTCAACGGCCATACCGGCCAAAGTCAGAGGAGTGTTCTTATGAGCAGTTGCAGTTATTATTAGAAGTGTAGCACAGAATGGGAGATGTACATTTTGCCATGCATAAGCCATCCCACTAAGACTTACACTGAAAAAAACCATGAGCATATCATTGATAGCCAAATGAATATATAATATGTATAGTGGGTCATTGTAGAAAACTGAACTCCTGAAAAATGTCAATACAAACATTCCATTTATGGACATAATTATGATCCCAAGAAGAACAATGGTCAAATTCTTTGCAAACGCATCTGCATATTTTTCTTGTACACTGTACAGAAACATTGTAGAGTTCATTGTCCTTTTGCGCTTGTGTACAATTTACTGATTATTATAAGTGATAATCCTTTTCTTGGTAAAAAAGACTGTTGTTGTTGTTTAGTTCCTTCCAGTGATCTTGATGACTGTCAAAAGTACATGAAGCTCGAATATGATATTCTTTATCCTGAAGATTTTTCAAGTTTTTCATCTCTTATAGAAAATAAAAAGATTAAAAACATTTAGCAAGTTAACAATTATAAGCTATAATGAATATACTGTAAATAAAACAAATTAAAGACATTGTTGAAAGAGTGAAATTACCTCTTCAGTTTGCTTAGTAAATAGTTTTGACTCCAGATGGGAACAGACCAGTTTATATACTCAATTGAGATGTAAATGAGGGGAGAAAAAAGACCACAAAAGAGGGAGGGAGGGAGGGAGGGATGGAGGGAGAGAGAGAGTTTAATTACAGTATATTGCTCTCCTGGTGTAAATACATACATGCCAACACACACACACACACACACACACACACACACACACGTGTGTGGGTTTACATGTATGTATTTACACCAGGAGAGCAATATACTGTAATTAAACTATCTTTTTCTCTTTCCCTCCATCCCTTTTCCGTGTGATATATAAACTCTCAGAAATAAGCCATGCTGTCAAAATCACTGTATAGTTTTCACTGTTAGATTTCAGTACATTTCTTATTAAATCTGATTTTGAATCATTGAATGGCTTTCAGTTTTTATGGCAGTCAATAATGAAATGAAACAAAATCTTATACAACAGCATTCATTTCTTGTAATTTAGAAATATATCTCACTCTTAAATTAATGTAGCCTACTAAACACATTAAAGCATAAAGTGATCAGCTGTTTCCTCCAGCCTTGGTTGAAGTCCCATTTATGTACAAATACATACATTTGTACGTACTGTAACATCTGTTTTGGGTTTGAGTTTTGTTTGAATTATTGTTCGTTTTGAACTGTTTCCAGTTCAGCTTCCTGTTTTTGTCCTACTGTTACAATGCTTTTTGATTTGCCCTCAGGTGTCACACCAGTGTCTAGTTACTGTATATTGTTTAGTCCCTAGTGTTTCTCTATGTATGCATAGCACTCATCATTTTTGGACTGATCTTATCTTTACAAAGTGTTTTTTTGTAATCTGAGATTTGGAGATGTGTTATATTGAGTTTATTTCCATTTAAAGGGGTCATAGGATGCCCATTTTCCACAAGTTGATATTATTCTTTAGGGTCTTAATGAAAAGTCTGTAACAAGAGGCCCTTCTAGCTGCAATCAGCACTTGACAATATGTGAATACAAGAATTAACCACACAACAGATGTATAAAGCCCAAGTGTACATTTGCTGAGTTCTGCATGGTATGGTGTGTTATAAAGAGTTGCTGAACTACAGAGAGCAACTGTTTTAAAGACAGATAAAGGACGAACAATTACAATGACAATCAAGTCGTTCAATCCAGGTATGACTCCCACACCCCAAATCAGAGAGATGAGGAGGTAGGTCCTGCGCACTGTGCAGATCTGATGGTGATGCAGTGGCTTGCAGATGGCGATGTAACGCTCAATGGCCATACCGGCCAAAGTCAGAGGAGTGTTCTTATGAGTAGTTGCAGCTACTATTAGCAGGGTGACACAGAATGGGAATGGTACATTTTGCCATGCAAAACTCATCACAAAAAGAGTTACAGATAAACAAACCATGAGCATATCATTGATAACCAAGTGAATATATAATATGTATCTTGGATCATTGTAGAAAATTGAACTCCTAAAGAATATGTATACAAACACTCCATTGATGGAGATAATTATGACCGCAAGAAAAATGATTGTAAATATTTTTGCAAAAGCATCTGCATATCTTTCTTGTAGATTATAGAGTTGCACAGAAGAGTTCATTGTGCTTCTTTGCGTTTTCTTTGGAAGAATGACTTTTGACTGAAGTTGTTGTCTGTAGTTGCTTTCCTTCCAAAGATCTTGATGGCTGATCAAGCTGAAATACAAATCTGAGTAGTTTATATGCTCATCTGAGATGTAAATGAGGTGGGGGGGAGAAAGAAAGGGAGGGAGGGAGGGAGGGAGGGAGGGAAAGAGAAAGAAAGAAGAAAGGGAGGGAGGGAAAGAGAGAGTTTGGCCACTCTGAAATGCATTGACCTAAATTACATTAGTGTGAAGAAGTGACCTTCTTCATCGCTGCAAGTGGCGGCACTGGCACTCATATATGTACACGCACACACATATTACATTTTTATACAATTTTTATAAAATTTTTACTCACCCATCCTGTCCCAGTTTATGCCGCTATCAGCATAGCGGGTGCACACGCTAGCTTGGTAGCACTCGGTCAGTCATCCACACTCCATCCTCTTCATCATGCCATACCACCAAACCTGTCCCTAACCTTACCCGCATCACACCTCAACAGCAGGAAGAGTGTTGTACATTAACAACAGCTTTTAATCATTGTATAACATCTGTTACAATCATTTGTAGATTTTCAAGATGTGCATGATCAAATGAATTAGAAGATTAATGGCATTTGTAAGCAATATCATTTACATGAAATGTTAATTATTAGGTAATGTTTAATACATTTATTAGTAAACATTAACAAGCACATTATTTCACATTTAGATATGTGAATATATTAACTAATGATCCGTTAAGCATTACATAATGTTTGTTAATGATTTATTAATGAAAGTTATTATAAAGTGTTACCATTAATTTAAAGTTTAATTTAATTAATTTAAAGTAAAGTTAATTTTTTTTACATATTCTATTTAAAATAATAAAAACAATGCTTAATTACACTGTAAAAAACGTTACCCTGCAACCTTAAAGGGGTCATATGATGCGATTTAAATTTTTCCTTTCTCTTTGAAGTGTTACAAGCTCTTGGTGCATAAAGAAGATCTGTAAAGTTGCAAAGACTAAAGTCTCAAATCCAAAGAAATATTCTTTATAAACGTTAAGAGTCAACCACGCCTACCTAAAACGGCTCGTTCTAACACGCCCCAACATGTCTACGTCACGATGTGGGAAGATTTGCATAACACCGTCCAAATGTTCATGCAAAGAAAGAAGGCGTAACTTTGATTCTGACTGTAGTATTGTTGTTGCCGTCGCCATGTCGTGAAGACGCTGTGTGTTTCGTTGTGAAAGCGAAACTACTTTGTTTGGTCTTCCAAAAGAGAACACAACTAGAAATCAGTGGTTAAGTTGTATTTACAACACTGTTCCAGAACAGTACAACCCAAATATTCAGATGTGTCCAGCGCATTTTATGGAGGACGAGGACTGTTTCCTGAGACAGTAGCCTACAATGTTTCTATAAAGTGGGGCAATTCCAACTTTGCAAGTACAGTCTGGTGCTTCTGCCTGTAAGTAAGTTTTCATATTTAAAGAATTTGCCACTGACGATTCAAACGCGAGTTTTGAGCAGTGTAGAGTAGCACTTGTTGTTTGTCATTTCTCCGATCACAAATGCAGACATGGTTTTATGTTTACGCGATACGCAACGCAACGCGTAAAAAGACAGCATAAGTCATTATAATCAGTAATTATGTCCCCACAGGATGTAACAAATGCCTCGTTTATAATAAATGTTACTGGTTTTGTCTCGTAGCGCCGGGACACGGCATCACAGTATGGTAAGGGGCGTAACATTTCCGTCACACACTTGAGGTATTCAGCCAATTACAGCGCACTGGATAGCTGGCCAATCACAGCACACCTCGCTTTTCAGACCGATGAGCTTTGTAAAAATCAACACGTTTCAGAAAGGCGGGGGGTTATTTCCATCTGATTTAAACCATAACATTTTGTTTGTATAAATTGATGTGTTTATCTTGATTCAGTGATTCAGTTACAGTTTTTCTCAGTCGCTTTGGTGCATTCCTCAAATCATTCTTAATATTTGCAAAAAACTATGTGCATTTCTCAAAACAATTCGTACAAACAGCGCCACACAATGGATTACCTGCAAAAGCCTGTAACTTTCTCAAAATCTTTAGTTCATCTCTCAAAAGTAAGTATTTATGTCAATGAACATATCAGTGCCATCAGAATGAAAAGACCTTGTGTCATTGTTCACAAACAAGATAGTCAAAATGCTTAGTCATGTTGTCAATATAACAGTGTTAGTATTGCCTGATGTAAACTAAGGCAACATTTTGGATGACAGTTACTGTATTGAACAGTATGCCATATGCTTATGTATGCCAAATATCCATTTCATAAGTGCAAATTTACACATTACTGTATGTGGGATATTGATTGAAAGAGACTGGATAGAATTCCCAGTTACACTTTTACTAGTAGTCTGACCAAAAAATAAAAAAACACATTACAATGTCATTGTGGTATAGAAAATGAAAAAGAAATATGGGCACAAAGATGAAAATAAAATTAGAAAGTCCATTGTCAGAAGTTGTAACTCTTGTGTTGCCCTCTGTCTATATGTTCTCCAACTGAAGATTCAGGAGATGAACCTATGAGCTATTTCAGAGAAATGGTTTATCATTGGTTGATCTACATTCTCTTCATTAGTGAAAGTCAAGATTCACTTTCACAATTCATGCCAAATTTACAAAAAGTCTAATAATAATGTGTAAAAAATGTGCTTGACAGTTTATGACAACTAGATGAACCATTTTGCATTTAGTGACTTATACGATGAACTAATGACTGGATGTTTTGAGGGGAAAGGCTATTGCACAGAGAACTATTATAATACATTTTGAGCAACATGGCATTAGCAACTGATAATGTAGGAAACCGCAGATAAATGTACATAATCAATTGCATGAATGTACCAAAGCAATCGCAACATGTTCAAAAGAATGAGAAGCTGCTTTTATGATGTGCACAAGTGACTAGATAATGTGGTGGTTGACCAAGTAGTTTTGAGAATTTCATTTCTGAGCTGAGAAATGCACCAAAGTGACTGAGAAAAACTGTAAATAATATTTCTGACTTGAATAAAAACCAGTTAATTTATATTTTTCCATTTTTTAGTGTACCAACCAACTGATAGATAGATAGATAGATAGATAGATATAGATAGATAGACATGTAAATGATTATATAGCACAATTCCATACTTTTAAATCAATGGTGGTCTGTACTTAACACTTTAAAAAGCTAGCATTTATTCAAACTCATTAGGAGTAAAACATTTCTGCATATCTGTGGTAAACAAAACGTGGAGAATGATTTAAAACGAAACATTTGTAAACCAAAGGTGGGGAGTCATTTAAAACTACACATTTTCAGAAGCACAATTTGTCACAGATCAGACTATGATTCCAAACCCTTGGCACGTTATAATATTAGGAAAATTGTTACAGATCCTTTTAATCTTCCTCATCTTTACACTCTACTCTCGTGTCTATTCTAGTGAGACCACACACAAAATACCTCCTCAGATACTTGCGGAACTTTTTATCCCGCACACCGTATATGATTGGACTCAAAAAGCGTGGCAAAATATAGACAATTAGATAGTTGACGAAACGTATTTCCAGGATGTGTCCTGGAAAGATGATGTTCAGTATGCCCTCCACGCTGGGAGACAAGTAGGACAGCATGCACATCAGCAACTGAACCCCGTGAAGCAAGATAGTGTTGGTCGCGCGGTTGGCGGAAGTTCTCTCAGTGGAGAGCGCGCGGGCCGCAAACACGATCCGCAGATATGTGCACAGCAGCGTGAGGAACACCAGCGAGAAATAAATACCGTCGAACGCATTGCGTTTGTACAGCAGCACAGGGTCTTTGAACACATTCTGCCTGAGACAAAAAACATTAGTTTGGAAGAAACTCAAAGGCTCTGTGGCTAAAGTCACGAAAAGGTCAGTGATGTCAGGAAGCATGGATACTAACCAAATGGTCGCTATGAGCATGTACGCGCGGCGCACGGTGCAGATCTGTGCATGACGCAGAGGATAGCAGATCGCGATATAACGCTCCATCGCCATGCCGGCCAGGTTGACAGGCGTGCTGCGGGTGGTGAACACAGCCACCAGGATAAAGAAACAACACACTCCTACACTGATAGTGTACAAGATGTAGCTGACCACAAACAAAGCGATGGTTACAGTGAGCTGCACTGCGTCATTAATCACCATGTGTACGAAAAGAATATAGCGAGGGTCTTCGTAAAAGATCTGATGTCTGAAGAAGGTGGCCACGACGCTGCCATTGATGTAGCTGAGGAGGAGCCACACCAGGACCACGATGAAGTTCTTAATGAAGGCCATGGTAAACGTGTCTCTCATGAGGAGTTGCTGGCCTGCTGTTGAATTCATCACGCAGGCCTTAAAAGAGGAAAAAGTGATGTAAATGCACAATAAGCTTGCCTATCAGTTTAAAAGTTTTAAAAAACTAAAACAAATATGTTGTATATTTTGTTACATGATTTTATCCAAAGTGGCTTACAATGCATTCGAGATACACACTTTATTAGATCTACCTATCTGTCTGTCTATCTACACAGTATGTAATACAGTTTGTAATATTATAGTAAATACAGTATATAGATCTGATTAAGCTCATATCTCGAATGCAGTTGTAAGCCACTTTGGATAAAAGCATCAATTAAATATAAATATTTTTTATGACTGACTTTTTTATGACTGACAATTTAAGAATCAACCACCGAAAAACCTATAGTATAACATTAAAACCTTCATTATTAATTTTATCACATGTTTATGGGATAGCAAACATATTTAAAAAGCAAAGATATCCCTATAAGATGTTTGTATGATACACAAATACTCACATAAACCAATTTTAACATACTTGCAATGAATTAATATGTATAGATCAGCTATAAAAATGAAGCAACAATTGCTTTTCCAGATCACAGTGCTTTTCATTATAAAATAACAGTACAG